CTTCCATTTGCCAATTTATCTAAGAATTCAGTTCTCTATTCCATAGGCAAAGAAGTGCATATTAGTGTACATAAACACAAAGAGCTTGGGTTGCTTAGAAACAGGAAAAAGTATGACCCCCTGCCTCACCTCCCTTTACATCATTTAGCACATGAAGGAAACAGCTGCACACCCCAATGAGGATCATCACGAGCTTCAGGAATATAAAAGGTGCATTAGAAAAAACACTGGAAGCTGAAGCAATTGGGACTTGATTCTCTACAAGGGCATTTCTTATGGAGTTCAGCATAATACCCTCATGCAGTTGGTGTCATTTAATGATGGCCAAATAAACAAGTTTCTCCTAAACATAAATCGTATTGTGATTATTTGTTGCACACTGGAATCCCCAATGAACTTATGAATTCCTTGGGGGCCCAGATAGAGTTCCATCCTCATGTTTTTGTCCTCAGCAACCAGACCAAAGCCTGGAATGACAGATGATTAGGAAGTATTGATTGAAAGATCAGACTATGTCACTGTGTGATGCTGGGTATGTCCTCACCTAGGGGGTTTAATGGAGTCCATGGCAACAGCCATCAGTGGGCATGTGACCACCCTGAATTTCTGGGCAAAATTTTATTTGCTGGAATGTGTGCATAATTTTTCTGAGGACACATATCTTTTATTGTCTCAAAGAATCTGTGGCTATTAACCTGACCCCAAAAGTTTACGAATCTGTGGCAGTAGTCTCCAACATTATTGGATCATGAATCCCAATACTAAAAAGCTTTGAGCCTGGACAGTGTGGCTCACTGTTTGAGCATTGATCTATAAACCTGAAGGTCACGGTTCGATTCTCGGTCAGGGCACATGCCCGGGTTGTGGGCTCGATCCCTGGTGTGGGGTGTACAGGAGGCAGCCAATCAATGATTCTCTCTCATCACTGATATTTCTCTCTCTCTCCCTCTCTCCTTTCCTCTCTGAAATCAGTAAAAATATATTTTTTAAAAAAGCTTTGAACATGCACACCATGCTCATGTACACATGTACTATATAAGGTACATGACACAACAAACATCAAAATGACAAAAGTACAAGGTAAATGGAAATAAACAATACTTTAAATATTTATTTTAAAAATTTTATTGAATTTATTAGAGTAACATCGGTTAATTAAATTATATAGGTTTCAGGTGTACAATTCTATAATACAACATCTGTATACTGTATTGTGTGTTCACCACCCAAGTCAAGTCTCCTTCCATAACCATTTATTCTCCCTTTACCCTCTTCTACCTCCCCCATTCCCCTTTCTCTCTCATACTGTAGTCTGTGCCTGAGGTTTTTTTCTTTGCTTAATCCCTTTACCTTTTTCATCTAGCCCCCCAACACCCCTCCTATGTGACAGCTTTCAGTCTGTTCTCTGTATCTATGAGTCTGTTTCTATTTTGTTTGTTTATTTTGTTCATTATATTCCACATATAAGTGAAATCCTATGGTACTTGTCTTTCTCTGACTAGCTTATTTCACTCAGCATAATGCTCTCCAGGTCCATCCATGCTGTTGCAAAAGGTAAGATTTCCTTCCTTTTTTTTACTGCTGAGTAGTATTCCATGTACCACAGCTTTTTTATCCACTTAAACACTTATTTTATTTAAATATATTTAATAGTACAAACCCATTTTATTTACTAAATAGTCATTATTTTATTAAGAGCAATGTGATTGAATATGGGTCATGTCTGAAAATTTAGATTTAATTATTTATGATATGTTAATTTTAAGGTCAGATTCTAAGTTCAGTTTATTTTACATAGCTGGGTTTTAATGGTTGTCACAATGCTAAGCAATAAAATCACAATATGATCTAAAAATTTCCAAACACCTTTCCACAACATTCTCTCTAAATTTTAATTTCTTTAAAATTCAGTTATTTTCGTACTTATTCTTGGAAGGACAAATTAATGACGCTTCCTTCTTTCTTTTAAATGATCTGTAGGTAGCACACTACTGAAGTTGCTTATTATCACAGAAACAATTAACAAAATGTAGAAGCCTTTCCTCTTTATAAAGAGAAAAATAAATATAATTTATCTGTAAGTTTAAGAACTCTCAAGTAATTTTCAACAGGATAAACAGCAAAAGTCTGTGGGATACAAAAGAGTTTCATGGTCCCTTCTCAATTTAAAATGTATTAAGTGAGTTTTCTACCATGCTGTATATTAAAGGTCTGTTTTTATAAAATTAACTAAAAGAAACATCTTGCAGTATTTTGTATATCTCTGGCTTCAACATCTTGGTTGCACTAGCTTGATATGAATGATATAGTGAATGAATTTATCCCTTCTAACATTACCCTAGAATCGAACAGCTGCTTCTTAAGAGGAAACACTACTCGATGTTTTTCATAAAACATTTTCATAAAGATTGTGAATAAATCTCATCTAGTAGTGGCTTACCAAAAAGAAGCACTTAGTGTATTTCATTGGTGAAACAGAAATGAACAAATACAATAGGTTAGATCTAACTACTTACAAATTTAAAACAAGTGTTTTGCCCTCCCTAATGTGCTTTAACACAGTATTTGTTTCTTCAAGATTTCAGTAATATCTTTAATAATACTTTCAACAGCATTTTCTGGCAAAGAAACTCATTTTAGATAGTTTTCAACATATTATATTATCTGGTCTTGTATTAGGTGAAAGAACATGTATTTCCTCAAGATGTGTGCTTTTAACTTTTACATACAAGTTAGAAAACTTCACAAGAGGCTTCACAACACTATTTAGTTTAGTGAAATTTTATAAAGATTAGAAGGTAAATTTTAACGTTGGATTTAAAAAATTGCAGAGGTTATTTTCCAGGTTTTTAAAAATCATTCATTATTTTAAAATCATAATCATTTATTATTTCTATTACAAAATTTCTCAAGGCAAAGTATACATTTCCTTCCAATATGTGCATTCTTAATGACAATAGATATAAATCCTTATTTCAGTTAGCCGTCTTGATAATTTTGAGATTTGGGAGCTAACTTTTGGTCAAAACTGACTGTATTCGTAGTTTTTTTAACTCATGACTAACAAAAACTTGTCCTAAAAGGACATGTTAACTCCTTCATTTCATACTGTTCCCTTGTGCTTGCTTGTAAAATTAGTGATACCTTCAATCCACATTTTGTTTTTGTCTTTGCCAGAATCTTTTAAAGCTACTTCTTTTGTTTATTTTGTTGTTGTTGGGGGCTAGCTTAAATGAAACAAATTAATATTCTGCAAATAAACTTAACTGGACACATACAAATGCAATGCAACATGCTATAGATAAGTGAGGGGCCAGTCACTTATCTGTTTTTTGAGGGTAACCTACTGCTCTCTCAGAACCCAGGGCCTTCTGACATAAAGAACAGGAGAGGGTGCGAATGTCAACTCATATATAGTAATAAAACTTAATTTTTATTATTTTGGGGGTATTAAAAATAAGTAAAAGTTCTAGTATTTTCCCTCACATCCCAGTGGTTTATCTTGCAAACTCCACTTTGAAAATCTTTAGTGCTATTTCCAAATCAAAAATTAAAAATTATGGATGGTCTGCTAGACTGGCACTGGCTCTCATTGTTTGACTGCTCAAAGAGTCCCTGGATAATCCCTGAACTTCTGTTCGCTGATAACTCTGGAGAAACCCTCCATCCAAAAGCCCACTGAGTAAGGAATGAAGGCAGGTTACCGGGGTGGGTTTTCTCCTGCCATAGCCTAGAACAGTGGTTCTCAACCTTCTGGCCCTTTAAATACAGTTCCTCATGTTGTGACCCCCAACCATAAAATTATTTTCGTTGCTACTTCATAACTGTAATTTTGCCACTGTTATGACTTGTAATGTAAATATCTGATATGCCGGATGGTCTTAGGCGACCCCTGTGAAAGGGTCGTTCGACCGCCAAAGGGGTCGCGACCCACAGGTTGAGAACCGCTGACCTAGAAGGTAGTCTGATTGACTTCACCAAGAATAACTGGATACGGTTCGCAAGTCTCTGTCTCCATGTTAGACTATATTCACCCCTCAAACGGACTGGCAGTTTTCAGCCTCAACAGACATCAAAACATGTGATTGTGAGGTGTTGCAAAATTATTCAGCACACACGCACTTCGCTTAGAAGCACTGACAGCTGCAAGTGGGAGGGAAGTGACGGGGTCATGTGTTTTCACGGTTGTTCTTCTGGACAGCTCTATTTTGTGTGGGAAGAAGAAACAAATTGTATCTCTTATATGGAAGGGAAAAGTTTTCTAAATTTAGAGTCTTTTATCACCTGGATTATTTCCTTTGAACATGTTTTTCTACAATTGCCACGCTGAAGGCAGGGGCTCAGGGAGTCTCGTGTGCTCGAATGCAGCCAGCGGTAACAAAGTCATATGCCAGGCAACTGGCCAGACAACCCAGTTCAGTGACCAAAGCCTATTTCAAGGGTCTGAAAGGACAGTCATAAACATCTAGAAGAAATTATTTGTCACAAGATCTTGGTTACCTATAGGTAAAGTCTCTTAAAGCACTAGCAACAACATAGGTAAGTTTTAAAATTAAGACAGGGCCAAAAGATGAATTTGTCCAAATTTCCTCCATGAAAACACTAGCTTCTCTCCTGTTCTTCGAGAACTCTTAAAAAGGAGATTCTAAAGCCTCTAATTCCTTTTATTTTTATTATTATTTTTTTAAATCCTCACTTGAGGATATTTTTCCATTGATTTTTAGAGAGAGTGGAAGTGAGAGGGAAAGACAGAGAGAAACATTGATGAGGGAGAAACACATTGATTGGTTGCCTCCTGCACGCACCCTGACCAGGGCCCGGGCCAGGTAGGAGCCAGCAACCCAACCAAGGTATGTGCCCTTGACTGAAATCGAACACGGAGCGCTTCAGTCCACAGGCAGACGCTCTAACCACTGAGCCAAACTGACTAGGGCTCTAATTCCTTTTAGAGCTCAACCGCTCTCACAACCAGACTCTTTCAAAGGCTACGGATAACTTACCCTTAGGAAGTTAACTTGATTAGTTCTGTCTGTGTTTGAGGAAAGGGAGGTGTAGAGAATATAGATGCCATTCAGTATCTCTTTCTTTGGAAAAAAAAAAAAAAGTCTTGTTAACAAAAAGAAAAACAAAAAGAAAAATGATCCAATCTAGGTTGTTTTCAGTATTTCAGAGATTCCACCATTATCTGTCATCAGAGAGACTAAAGATAATAAGAGGTTATTTGTATTTACCTCAGTTAAAAGTGTACCATTTTCATTAGGTCTTTTAGAAAGTGACAAGATGGCCCTTACAAATGAAGTTTTTATTTGTGCTACTTCCTTGCCCACAGATTTATAACCACTGGTATTGTGTTTCCTATATGAAGGGACAGAGGTTATTAACTGTGGATCCTGACTGGATTCCTGTTACATGTTTGCATACTGAATTCCCTGTCTTTATTTTCCCATGAAACTAGATCCTCCATGTCCCACCAATCCCAACCACTCTACCCTGTTGCCCCTCAAAAGTCTTGCTTCTTCTTACATGCAACTTGTTGGCTACTCTTGCTTGGAATTTGTGATTAAACTATATTTGAACTCTTCCATATAAACAGGTTTAAAAAAAAATCAGCCAAAATAGCAACATAAGCAGCCAACTAGTAATCTGGCGAGTATTGCCCTTAAGATTAAAAGTTATCAACTAGAAAATTTTTACATCTTTTTCCCTACAAAAGGAAAAATAGACAAACAGGCTTGAAAGATGACTAGAATCATATAGTGTTAACACTGGAGCAAATCCATAAAAATGATCCAGTTTTCTGTTCCTTTCCCAGAAGAGGAACATAAGGCCCAGAAAGGAGCCTCGTGACTCACTCCACTTCCACCTGTAGTCAGAGGCAGAGCCGGGACCAGGCTCAGGGTTCTGACTGGGGTCGAAGCAGAATGAGGGACCTGGCCATCTGGTTATTTACACTGAAATTGAAGAGAAATCTCATAGCAGTAACTGAAATTAGATAACCAATTTCATAAGGTGGTAAAGAGTTCCAAAGACATACAACATTTAAAATATTTATTAGTTATTCATACATTTTTGAAACTAGAAAAGGGATCTTTAAAAGATTTCAAAGCAAAAATCTATTTCAGACACCCTAAATATTTTCCAGCAGGTTCCCACCAGCCTCTGTCGCTGACATTCTTGGACAGAGGCCTAGGAAATGAGCTAGGCCAACCAACTCGCTTCATGATGGGTGAGAACCAGGACAACTAGGCCCGATTGCCACATCACATATATTTTCTCCATTCAGGACCCAACAGACTTCTAACTGCCAATTAAAAACCACTCCCAGTATTTTCATCCCAGATGATTATCTGTGACAGTTGTGCTTCCAGCCCCCTTTCCAACATCCTGTCCTTGGATCAGGCATAACATCTAAGCTCTGTGTTTAAGCTAGAGAAGGAATAAAGACTAAAAGCACTGCCAAAATGCTCTTTGCTGTGAGTCTCCACACCACTTCCATTCTTAAAAGTTATAACCTGCATGAAATAATCCTAGTTCAAAGTAGAGTGTTTTAATCTACATTAGTGACCTCTGAAAATCTGAGCCTAGAAAGGCGTCTGAGGTTCAAGCGATAAAACTATCCACACAGAATACATGGGTTCCATAAGCCAGGGTACTTTTCTGAAGTACTCCGTGCTGGAAGTGAATGAAATAATCGACGCTCTAATGACAGATTCAAATTTAATCATCTCGGCATGCCTCCATCTACTCATCCAAATAACTGCTGGCTCTTTGGGCTTGTGTTCAACTGCTTAATCTAGTGTGTGGGGGATGGCTTCTCTCAGAATCCAAGGCTCTATCTTGGTCTGGCCCCCCAAAGTAAGGTCTTATCTCTCATTGGGGCAGACACAGGAGAACGCTTCCCCCCTTTTATTGAAAAAGAAAATGTTATAGATTTTATTTTATTTAAAAAAATTTATTGAATTTATTGGGGTGACATTAGTTAACAAAATTATATAGGTTTCCAGTTTACAGTTCTATAATACATCATCTGTACACTGTATTCTGTGTTCACCACCCAAAGTCAGGTCTCCTTCCATCACCATTTGCCCCCCTTTACCCTCTTCTACCTCCCCCCACCCCTCTCTGGTAATCACCATACTGTTGTCTGTGCCTATGAGGTTTTTGTTTTTTTCTTAATCCCTTCACCTTTTTCACCCAGCCCCCTCAAACCCCCTCCCCTCTGACAGCTGTCAGTCTGTTCTGTCAGATAGATGAGATTTTAAGCGAATTCATTTTTGACTGGTTCCTTATTCCTTGTTAGTGATTTCAAACACCAGGTAAATCTATAGCTGTAACTGTATATAGCTGATTACTGCTTCCCATTTATACTTTTAGAATGTAAAGGCTGCCATTTTAATTGGTATTCAGAGGTCTGCCAATGTGCAAACCCAAGCACAGTTAATTTACCCATTGGAAAAGGGAGTTATCTAGAAACAAAAGGGAATGACAGATTAAAAGGCTATCTTTGCTAATACTTTTGAATTGGGCTAAAGTTAGTTATACCCTGTTGAGTCCTTTCACTTCTTAGGATGAACAATGTAGCAAGCATGGCGAGACATATTGCTTGGGCCTCTAATCTTAGCTGTAACATTTCCTGTCTCCTGTTCTACCATCAATAGTGACCTACTTGCTATACCATGTGATTTTCCAACTGGAGCTTTTGATGCTCACACATGGGAAACACAATTACTTTTATATTTAGCACAAAGTGTAGCCATGAAACATTTCAAATGATTTCCAGTTCAAGATATCCACATTAATCTTATTTTGAGGTAACTTATTTTGCTTTGTCATTTAGAGACATAATAGTTGTAACTCATTAAAAACAAAGCTTTCACTTTAAAAAATAAAAAAGCCACCTGTGAAAAATGCTACATTATGTCAGTATCTAATAAATTGAAAACTAACTGGCAAAAAGTAAAATAATCATGTCCTAGTTACTCATCTTGTTTGAGGAACTGGACAAATAAGACTCTTGTTGAAAGTGATAGGGAACAACACTGCGGGTATTACTTAGGTTTGCAATCCTTAGAAAAGTGAAAACAACTTATTAATGAGGATAGAACAGTAGACAAAAACTAACACTTAGAAAAACAAACAAACAAAAAAACTAACACTCAGAAATGGAATAGAGGTGTACAAAAAGAGAAAACAACAGGATGTGTTCGGTAAAACTATGGGTAAAATTAAAACTCACTAAAGAACAATGCATAATAAGATTATGAGTACCTAGCAAGAAACCCTTACAATAAAACAAAAAAACTGAGAGTAACTCAGGAAAGTTGATTTACCAGGCAAAGTAAAACTGTCATACACAGTTTTCAAAATTAATAAGAAAGTCATTATTGCAAACTTATGTATGTATGTAACATAGCAAATGACTATTCAAAATGTTGTCTTTTCTGGTTAGCTTTGATCCACAAACCTTAAAGGGTCTAACACTCTAATGAAGAATACTTGTTCCATGTCACTTGTGAATAAGCAAATTCCCCTCACTCAACCAAATCTCCAAAACAGATGTCAGGAGACTGCAATGCCCCTATTTAAGTGAATTTCCAAAACTCTGTGCTACACCAGCTCAAAAGCAGCTGCTTTTGTGAATCATAAAGAACCTTTCAAAGCATAGTATTCACACATGGAAAAGCACATGTTCTACTTTGCCTCCGCCAAAGAAACCTCACTGCCACCCCCTCACCCAAGTACTTGGGAAATATTCCAGCCATGTGTGTGTGCCCATTATGGATTCTTTCTCCTTGCTACTGCTTTTACTATACATTTTCTATAACCTCATGCTGTTTCCTACCCACACAGCTTAGCAAGAAAGGGGGAAAAAAAGGCTTTTTTTTTTGAGCAATAAAAGGGCCAATCCACTGTATACGAAAACTACCCTGTCAAACAGGCTCTCAAGAGCTTACATAGACCAGGCACCTGCCTAACTTAAACAATGATGATACGCTGACCCAGCCCTTTAATTACCGATCTCATTGTTACCTGGATCTTGATGGATTCTAACCCAGTCATACACCCATGTCTAACCAGGTTATAAAGTGAGGAAGAAAGAGTTCCCCACCACGATACTCAGGAAGAAAGTACAATGTGAACACCAAAACACCCTTTTCCCTTTCTTCCCCCTTCAGTTTTTTTTTCTGACTTGTCTGATGCAAACCAGAAAAACAATCTGGAAGGAGCCAGATTAAAAATTACTCTCAAATATGATGTATTCTACTCACCATAAAATTTCTATCTGTTTTTGGAAATCTGATACAGGGAGTTTAGCTGAGAAATATATTTCATAGTAAGTGACTCTAACAGGTTTTTGTGAGTGGGAACCCCAGAAGGCAGAACACTGTCAGCTGGGTTTAGGCTGATAATCTGCACAGAGAAATACCCTATAGGTTGCAAGGTCACCTGGGAAAAGATCCAGGACAGATGGGCAGGTAGGAGGGGAATGTGAGGTTCTCGTCAAAGCTGAAATGACGATTTATTTAGTTGAGTGGTAAAGTCACACAGCAAACCTCAGAAAATAATGGCTCACAACATATTTAGCAAATGACCAAGCAACCCTCAGAATGACAGGGAAAGAAAGAACATTAAGGCACGTACTTTGGTGGAAAAGGGCCTAAGCTGAATGTGAAAGAAAAGGGACCTCGGAGGGGGCACTCGGCTTCACTTCTGTCAGTCCCTTCCAAATTAATATGTGAGGTAAAGCTAGTTTTCAATTTTCACCTTTATAATTTCCTCAAACTAATTAAGTTCCAAGAATAAAATTTATTAGATACATGAGTTCAAATGAAAAATTATGTGTAAGCAGAGAACACAATTTTATTTAAGTGAATTTGCTACTGCAAGTTATCATGTCATTATAATTCTCCCAATTTACATTTATCCTTATATGTATACCTTCATATTTAAAGGTTTATACCCAATTAAAGGAGTTGGCATCCTTATAACTATAATCAACATAAAACCTAAAGTTAAAAGTATTATTCAAATTTCCCTCTTGTATTCATGTAATTCTGCTGTAGTAGTAAGTCTATCTTTTCTCTAGAGAGAGGAGAGAGAAAGAAAAACAGTTTTGTTAAGTTTTCAAATTTTATAGGAAAAAAGCTAAGGTGCATATACTCAGCTCAAATGACAATCAGCATCCCACTTTATTCCTACTGGAAAAGAAAAAGACTGTCTATGAATTATTAGATATCAAAACTTCTAAATATTCATCTTTTCATCAATTTATGCACTTGCTTGCTCATTCATTTTATAGGGTCTCTGCCCTCATGGAACTTATATTCTAGTTGGGAAGACAGACAAAACCAATTACACAAAACAAGGTTGTGGCAAGTATCATAAAAGAAACAAAAATAGGGAAGAAACAGAGAATTGGGGTGTGGGTGTGGGCCTCAGATTAGATGGAATAGTGCTGAGAGGTGCCTGTGAAGAGGAGCCCTTAATGGAAAGGATGTAGCGGGACAAACCTAAGATGTGTGATCCAAGCAGACAGAACAGGATCAGAGGTGGTAATGGGACTGGCTTATCAGACAAACAGGAAGCTAATGTGATTAGAAAACTGAATTAGGCAAGAGGGTAAGTAATGAGGTCACAGAGATGGGCAGGGCTCATCACTTAGGCCTTGCCATAGTCTTGGGACTATCTTCCAAGGCAAAGGGAAGCCATGGAGAGCAGAAAAGGGACATGAGTAAATGAATCTGAGTCTAAATCCTAGCTTATCCACTCAGCAGTTATGTGACCTAAGCAAATTACTAGCTCCTCTTGGATGCTCAATTCCTACTTTATAAGAGTACTCAATAAATAATGGCCAATTACAATCATCAATAATTATCATTATTGTTAATGCTATGATATGTAAAGAAAGTTAATAAAAATGTTTACATTCAAATAGACCTATACTGCAAAATAACATATCAGAAATTTAGAATTATTGTGAAATAAGCAAATTATTTTAATATTTTTTATTCAGTAAAAATCATCTACTTAAAGAGTACAAATAGACATAAATTAGTACATTCAAAATTATTAGGGTTTATTGTGGTTCTAATCAGAATAATTATTGATCTTGGTTCATTTCTCTGTCCTTAATTAGTCTTCATTGTGGCTTTTTTCTCCCTGTTAACCCAGCCTTGCCATTTTGTGTCCAGGAATGTGTAGCTCATGCAGTTCATGGTATCTACCAAACGATACAGCAGTCATAAAGGGAATTTTATAGTTACTTTCCAAGCCCGCCAATATCTATTGCCCCCTCATTTCCACACACATACTTTTTTTTTTACTAACAGAATCCTGATTTTGTTCAAATTCACCTCCTCTCTTCCTCAGGCAGTGATGATTGATCTTCTCACTAGTGACCAATTTATAGGTGAGAATGTGATCCCATTCTGATCAATGAGATGAGAAGAGAGGTCTTCTTAGATTCTTCTTTGTAATGTTTTCATATTTTTCAAAAAGAGACCCTGGAACCAGGCCAGTGTTGCTCAGTGGTTGAGCCTCAACCTCTGAACCAGGAGGTCACAGTTCGATTCCCGGTCAGGGCACATGCCAGGGTTTCAGGCTTGATTCCCAGTAGGGAGGCAGTGGATTAATGATTCTCTCTCATCATTGATGTTTCTATATCTCACTCCCTTTCTCTTCCTCTCTGAAATCAATAAAAAAACATATCTTTTTTTAAAAAAGAGACCCTGGCCCTAGCCGGTTTGGCTCAGTAGTTAGAGCATTGGCCTGCAGATCAAAGGATCCTGGGTTCAATTCTGGTCAAGGGCACGTATCTCAGTTGCAGGCTTCTGCCCGGCCCAGGCCCTGGTTGGGGTACAGGAGGCAACCAATCGATGTGTTTCTCCCACATCGATATTTCTGTCTTTCCCTCTCTCTTCCACTCTCTCTAAAAATCAATGGAAAAATATCGTCAGGTGAGGATTTTTTTTTTTTTAAGAGAAACTGTGGAAGAAGGTATCCATTTTCTGTGCTCTAGATATTGACATGCTTGCAAATGATATCTGAACAACTATAGCCATCTTGTAAAGAACCAGTCTTAGGATGAACTGGTGTGAGGACAACAGAGGCAGAGACATGAAAGAACCTGTATCCCTGATGATACCACTGTGTCACTGAATCAACCAATCCTGCCACCAGCCCTACTTCTCACATGGATAATACACTTTCCTTACTGTTAAAGTTAACTTGAGTTGGAGTCTTGTGTTTTGTCCAGAAGGTCTCCTAGCAGAACATTTCCATTCAGCAACATCACTAATTTCTTTGTCTCTGGGATGGTCTAGGAATGTAACTAGGACTTCTGATTCTTGTTCAGTGAACTCCAGAAACCTGGGTATGGGAAGATACAGAATTTTAACTGGTCATTCAGAAAAGCCTGGGGGAAAACAACCCTAGAAATCACAAGAAGATGGTACTATGGCATGGGTAGCTGGTACTAAATGGCCCCTCTCTCTGTCTTTGACCTTCTCAGTTTGTTTAAAAGCTTTGACCTTCACCTGGCTGGCATGGCTCAGTGGTTGAGTGTTGGCCTTTGAACCAGGATGTCATGGTTCGATTCCCAGGGCATATGCCTGGGTTGTGGACTCAATCCCCAGTGTAGGGCATGCAGGAGGCAGCGATGATTTTCTCTCATCATTGATGTTTTTCTCTCTCTCTCTCCCTCTCCCTTCCTCTCTGAAATCAATGAAAATATATTTTTAAAAAACAACTTTGACTTTTACCTCCCACCTGCCCAGACACCTGTTTTCCCCCCAAGACCTAAATGAAGTACATAAGGCTACCGATTGTGAGCCCTTATCCAATTACAAGAATTTCAGTAGAGACCACGTAGGACTAGCACAGATCCCAGGCACAAGGCAGATGTTAAGGAAGGAGAAGCAGCTTCACATTCCACTGGGATAAGAGAATTAAGGGGCAGAAGCACTCCAGAGAAGAGGTGCAATATTATGGTCTGTAGTCAGGAGGCAGACATGCCTGAAAAAGAAGGGGGAAATACCATGATCATCAAAGGACAATGGCTGATTTTTCTTTTTTCAGCTATGTGGAATTATCTTAAAGTTGGAAATACTTGGGCCCAGTAAAAGAAAATATCCATCAAGAAAAAAAAAAAAGCACAGAGCATGGAAAGAAGGGATGGAGTGGGATTATTGCTTGGGGAGCTGCTGTGAGGGTTGGGAATGAAGAAAAAGAAAAGATCACTTCAATGTCTAATGGTTCATAATAAGCAAAAAAGCCGTATGGTTTGAAACCAAATTAACCATTCCAGTCTTATAAGCATTTTCCTACAAGAAAATTATAGAATTATAAATTTAGCACATACTAGAGAGCAGAAAATGTAATGCACACAGATTTCATAATTCAGTGCCATATTTGAAAAACATTACTTAGAAAATGGAGTGAACATTATAACAGGGGAAGATTTCCTAAGAGACCATAATTAAAACAGGATATAAATGGTGTCTTAGCTCTTGAAAGGGTCACTATCAAAATTCCATTTAGTGTCTTAATTACTAATCTGTAGCAGAAATGGAAATACATTCAATGTGAGGATGGTATCTAACTGTGACATGTTGTCTGGGTCAGGAAAGTGGTAGGAGAATATCTGGAGAGGTTAGAAACAACCCAACTTAAGGAGGTAGATCAGGAAAAGAAACCTGAAACTCCCAAAATAAAAATTAAATTAAATAACTGAAGGAGAGAAAACTAAAACATACTGGAAATAATTTGTAAGGGAAAGAAAAAAGTGACAATAGCTACAAGGCAATAACCCAGCCTCTCTGGAGACATAGGCCATGCATGATTAGTTAGAACAACAAAGTAAGAATTTATCAAGAAAGGGTGCACCAATCCACATGTTCTGCTATTAAAGATATCAGGGTAGCCCTACCTTTCTTTTCCCTATTCTGTGGGTACCTGTTTTGGTTTTTGTAGAAAGCTTCCTCTCCTTAGTTGTAATGAATATGTCTTGCTAGTCGAGACTTGTGATCTTGTTTCTTAATGATTAAAAAGTACACAGGAGGTGGTAAGAGTGATTAGGAGGATAAGGGAGGTGTCACTGGCAAGCATGGGTAAGGCTGGTAAAAACTGAGGTTTTGTGAGACTAATTACTTTTACACTCTGTAAGGTTGTCAGAACATGTAATATCCTGCATTAGTGTGATCTTTTTCTTAGCATCAGAAAAATACACTGGAATGCTATAGAAAAGTCCTTTGAAAATGTTCAAAAATGCAGTTACTCCCAAAGGGATAAGATTCATGGTAATACTGATTATAATAGAGCTTTTATAAAGTAGAGTTCTTACCTGAACAGAAGGGAAGGAGAATGTCAAAAAAAGGAAAACACTGGAGGGTGGGGCTAAACGAAGGAGAAAAGTTGGAATTGGGGAAACTTGGAAGGTTAAGGATGAGAACATTCTGTGAGAATCTCTGTTTGTGTAACATATCTGCAAAGTAGAAGAGGAAGATTTGGTATTTGAGACACCTGAAAGCAGACATGAGAAATTACCAAAGCAAGACTCCACAGAGAGAACCTCCACTGGTGGCAGGGAAGGGGCTGAACAATGTGTTCTACAGACGTTTGCCACTACCCCTCACCTGAGCCTTCCTCAAGGCCTCCCAGCCCCAGCTCCTACGTGAAAGCAGAAGCCCTGGGAAGTGCAGGGGCAGGTGCTCCTGACTTACAAGATCCAAAAGAAACCAGAATTTGAGTCCCTGACCTAATCTAGAGTTGCTCATCTTCTCTGTTACTTTGAACACCTCCTAGTAAATAACTTTATATGTAATCACTCAGTTTTCTAATGATATTTTCTTGGCAGGTCTGAGAAGAAAGCACCTATGTTAAGTAAGGCTTAATGTCCCAGATGATACAGTCATTTAGAGTCTGTGAAGACCTAACGAAAAAGGGCTATCCTAAGGGCCCTGTCCTCAGGCAGTGAGGCTTAATCAGCTGATCCATAATCTGCACATGGACACATGATCAGTACATGACCTCAGTAACCCAGCTCCGAGGTAAGAACCATGCCATAAAAATGACTATCTATGGGGCACTTCCCGAACAAAAGAGATTTATAAATGAAAACTATTATGAAAGTTAGTTCTAAAATCAAAACTACTGATTTTTTAAAAAAGCTTCTCACAACAAATGTTAAGTTTCCCCATTATGCTGAGCTTTGGATGTCAGCAGCCTCTAGGCCCAGCACCACCTTGTTCCTCCAAAGCCCCCAAACCTCCCATGGCCAAAGCTAGCTGGTCACCTCCACTAGGCGGTGAAAGGAACCAAGCCATCTGAGACTTCAAAAGATAGAGTGAGAAAAACAAACAAAAAGACAAAAAGAAAGAAAAAAAGATATGAGAGTGAGGACGTCCCAAGTCTCAAAAGGGGGCACATGGGTTAGCTGCCTTTTCAAAATATGACAAGGAGTATGGGAACAAAAAAGGAACGAGGGGAGATGGCCTAGGCTAGGGGGAGTGTTGGAGATATTCATGAAGAAGACACAACAGGGAGGTGGTGAGAGAAAGGCAAGGCAGGAATGAAGAGGAGGGACTTTGAGGATGGGAGGGGGCGGGAATAGGTGATACTTAGATGAAATGCCGAGACTGGTGCTAACGTCGAAAGCCTGGCACTTGGATTGCTACAGCTAACATTCATACTTTTGGTGAATATCTTTGTCATATCCTTTCCAGGCCTTGTAAGTGTTCACTTGAAATTCTGTGTAGCCTCTAGTAGTGCACCTAGCAACTATTTCTTGAATACCCCTTCTTGAGAAGCTACAAGATGAGAGGTGTGGTCCCTGCCCTCAAGGGGATCTCTATCCAGAGGGGCTGATTACAGGAAATAAGGGCCCTGCTGGCTGTATACAAGCAGGCCAAAGAAGGACATGGAAAAGCTTCCCATAGTAGGTGCTAATACTTGAATTGCTCTTTGAGTTAGCTAACAGAGAAGAGGTGCTACCCATGATAGATACTCTATTACTATTTGTTAATTAAATTAAGTCTATTCTAATTTGTAATGATTGCCTGGTAGATACTAGTGGTTCAAGGATTAGGAGGTAGTTCTTATCACTAAAATTATCTTATCAATTAAAAAGATAAATCTATCCATTTTAGTGTCTAGACCTAGGGGCATAATCTAAAAAACACACACACACACACACACCCTTATCTTTGGATGAGGTGGAGAGTGCAATCATAATTTTTCTAATTATGAGGCATCTTCTTGTTCTACTAATTTCATAGTAAAAAGTTTTAAAAGCTTTTGAAAAAAATCACATTTTGCTCACTTAAAATATGTGTGTGTATTTTAGCATAAAATATATTTGGCAGCTGCTAACATAATTTGATGGCTATGCCCTGCAAAAACTTGATTTCTTTTTAATCAAATTTTTAGAACCATACTGGGTTTCTTGCCAGTGCTGCGATAGTGAGCAATAAATACATCATTAGATTAATGGTGGTCTGATGATGGATTGCTCAAAAGATAGTTCTAGCCAAGAAGAATAAGCCCAGAAGTGTCATTGTGCAGAGATTAATAAAATATTGTTTAAAACATAGATATTGAGTTAATACAACAGGGAAGAAAACACTGCAAAATAGAAAGGAACAGCCCTGGGTTTATAATGTAGCATAGTAATATTGATCATGGACTTTCCTGAGTACTCTAGAGCAGCCACACTATTATATATGCCTCTGATTAGACCCAGAGATGAGAAGGAAAAAGTTATAAAAAAAGAAACTAACCAGAGGAAGGCCTGCTGCTGTAATAAATTATTTAAAGCAAGCAGGGCAAGCGGGTTGTGAAGACAATATAAAACAGAATCAATGCCCCCAAGAAACCCCAAACCATCAGCACCTCTATAAATTTCTTACCATCCTGTCTGGCATTTTACTGGAGGTATTTTTTTCTCACCACTCTCCCCATCCCATCCCACCACGACCCTTCACTTTTTGCCAGCTCTTTTCTCAGTGCTTAACATTTGTTTTTCTTCTGTAACCCAGGATGCTGTCTTCAGTTCTATTTCTCAGGCTGTATCAGAAGAGTGTCTGTACGGCCACAGATGAGTGCATCTGTCACTTCATTCATAAATTTCCCACGGAAACTATAAGCTGGGATTATCTAATGTGATACACTTATCAACATAACTTTAATATTATACCTATTTTTATTTTTTCTTACTATTGTTACAGTTAAATCCACAAAATTAAAACTAGTGTAAAACTTCTATATCTCACTACCTGTTCTATATTAGAAGATGTTACTGGACGCAAAAAAAAAAACACAAAAAAAACCAACAACAAAAACCCACCACCACAAAGTGAAGGCAGGAGTTTAAGGAGAATTTTGGAGGAGAATTATGGCTAAAATTTTAGTATTAGGAACTGTTACAAGGGCAAATTGTGTGGCTCAGTTGGTTGGGCATCATCCTGTGCACCAAAAGGTTACCAGTTTCGATTCCTGGTCAGGGTACATGTTTCCCATGTACTTTGATCCCCAGTAGGGGGCATGCAACTGATCCATGCTCCTTGATGTTCCATTCTCCCATATTGATGTTTCTCTCTCTGTCCCTTTCCCTTCCTCTCTCTCTAAAAATCAATAAATATATATAAAAAAACACCAAAAAACAACCAACAACAAACAAACAAACCAACAAACAAGGGCAGGTTGATTTGAAAAGTGATTTTTTCATAAGTAGATTTTTCCATGGGCATAAGGATATATGGAAAGAAAGGTCAAAACTTGAAAAAAATTTGTCGAATTCTTTTTGCCACAGGTATCCCATGGCAAAGAAAAAGAACCCTCGCCAAAACAACAAAACAAAACAAAACCCCCCAAACCCCAAAACAAAACCAAAACCAAACCAGAATTGCAAAATTGTTGCTTAGAAGCTTACAATGACCTATGACCCAGTTTCAAGAAAAGTAGCATTCTACTATTGTTTTTAACTAGCACAAATCAGTCCCATTGCATCATCATCAGGGGCTGAAATTATACCTTAGGCTTTAAAAATTTTTAGGTCCATCCAATCATTCAGAAACTGGTCAAGTGAAATATAAGCAACTGTATCCTGCCAGCCTAAAAACATTATTAGCAGCATGACTCAACAGGCAAACACGACAGGTCTAAAATATTAGTGAAAAAAAAATTCAACATATAGGCTTTACTGCCATTGTGCTCTGTGACCTTTAGCAAATTATTTGCCATGGTGGGTCAAGGCTGGCTGGTTAAGGTCAGGTTCATTGAACCAATGATCATATATGGTGGTTAGTTTTATAAAGAAAACTGTTCAATAAAAAGAAAAAGAAAAGAAAACTGTCCCAAGGTCATAGTCAATATTTTAAAAATGCAAAGGAAGGTAAAAAAATAAAAACTATAGATGATATAAATGACTAAGCAGAACTTTATTATCTCACTACGATGCTAAATAACAACAATTCAAAACATAAGACCAACTTCTCAGTTATTGGTGTCATCTTTGTGAAAAACAGGATCTAAATATTATTATCTTTTGGTGGTTGCTGTTTGCTCATCTGTAACAAAGTTGGGGGAAAGATCATGGTACTCAAAGGATGAAGGTAAGCGACCTATAAACATGCCTGTCAAGTGCTCCTTAAAACAGAAATTGCTCTGTAAAAGTTCCTGTAATGATGCAGGGGCCTGGAACAATCCAAGATCAGTTTCCCAGCCTACTCACATCCTTTTGTCCTCAGGGAAGTAAATATTCTGGGCACTGCTGACCTCTGAGAAGTCATTTGGATTTTTAGGTACTTGGATGGTAGAAAGAGGAAAGGGCAACAACTTCTCATAGATCCTTTCTCTGTTAAACCTTTTCTAGGAGCCTTAAATTGAGAATTATGCCAGTCTGAAATGGGAGAACTGAATTTAAACATTGGTATCAAACTATACATTAAAAAACACAAATTGGCAATAATTAATAAATCGAAATTTACACTGATTTGTAAAGTGAGATGGCAATCAATTCTCAACTCATCACTCTGTGATGCTGAGAAAATCTATGTACCCAATTAGATGGGACAGCTCAAAGTACTTCTAAGATGACTTTCTGAAAATAAGATCCCCTGTGTCTCTGGGTGGTTGGCTTGGGACACTCCTGACAGGGAAGCAAGCCAGCTACAGCTTCCCAAGAAGATCCTTGACCTTGGATAAGTTGATACTCGCCCTGCTGAGGTTCTAGCCCCCAACCTGGAACAACTTTAAAGTATCAAAGGTGGCTCCCAAGGGCTAGGATTCATCTAACCTCCAAGGAGAAATTCCCAGGAATGTAAATTAGGACTGGCAAAGTCATCCTGGAGACCCCAGAGATCCACTGGACTTGGAGTAGAGAATGAAAGGACTAAGACTGGGGCAGGGTCTTAAATTACCTTGCTTCCCCAGACAGACTTCCTTAGAATTGGGGCTAACCTGGAACAGGGATAGCTGAGGTTTCCCAAACAGTTCTGAACACAGGACAAAAGGTGCCACTGTTGAAAACAGAGAATTAAAGTGTTGCCTATAAATTTCACAAGGCCAGTAAATGTCACCTGGAAATTTTGAAACAAATATTTGTTAAATCAAGTTATAGAGGATATTGTTTTTTCATATCAAAAATCACTCGGGGGTGCTTGTTAAAAAGCAGATTCCTAAGCCCCACCCCAGACTCGAATCCCAGAGATTGGAGTCCAGCCTATAAAATGAATTTCTAAGGAACAACCCAATTGACTCAGATGACTCATGTCTAGGCATGAGAGTTATTACGTCCATGTTGTCCATCAGCAATTTAAAGACAGATTAGGGATTTGCACATTTTCACCCCGAAATATTTAAGTACCATAAAAATGAAAACAATACTTCTCATGATGAGTTCGTAAGAACCACTGCAGTTTATTCTGCAACATATAATGAACACCATTATTAAAATATAATTATGAGCATAAAATTATTGGGAAAGTATCAACTATGCTTCACAAAAATATTGCCTTTATTTTGTCACCAAAAAATAATTATGCTATTAAAGGAATTTATAGTTTTTTTAAGTATCAGTCATTTGGCTGCAGGAATTTATTAAGCTGCTAAGCCCCTCCCATATCCTTTTACTCATCAGAATTTTTGTGATAAAGGTTTTTATTATTTTTTAAACTACAAATTGTAAACCATTGCAACTAGTGATTAGGCTGACTATGAATTTATATGCAAGTTATAAATTCCTAAAAACACATTGCATTAGAATTAGTAAGGCAGTCTTAACTCTAACAAATTAAGTAGCCTCTGCAATAAAGCTCTGTTTACTTCTATTAATGATTTTTTTTGGGTGCAAAATGATTCGGTTGTAATGCATTCTCTTAAGAAGCAAAAGAACACAGTTTCTAAAATACATGCTACTGCAAAGCAGTAAACCAGTGTTGCATGGTGATGTGACAAGAACCACATTTCTTTCCTAGAGGGATTTTTTTTCTCCCATAAACTCCCCCTCCCCAAATCATGGCTATAATTATTTCACAAAATGCGGTTTGCCATTTCTGAAGAGTCAAACACTCTTTTTCTTCCTCACCCAAATCACAAGTTCAGGCTGAATACTGAATGAAAATAGAACTTGAGAGGCAGGCTTTGTTTGTAGCATGTTTCTACTAAGGGTTGCCCCCTACCCACGCTCCATCCTAGGGCCCCCACTGAAGTGTACATGTTATGTTTTAACAGATGGGCCGGCTGGCGGCTGCAGGGCTGTAAAATAGGAACGTGGAATCTGCACCGAATGGTACTGAACTGAATGCTCATAAAGTTCATGGACATATACTGACCCAGACAGACCAGGCAGATCCAGACATGCTTACACTCATTGTACACCCCACAGATGAGAGGGTCCATCTCTCCACCCAGGGGAAGCTCAAGGTTGTTTCCCTCTGCATATATCTCTACTTCATTCACCTGTCAATTTTACACGCACACATATATGTACACACACATATATGCACATCTACATATGCAAACACACACATGGATAGCTATGTATCTCCACCTTTTTATATATTTTCAAAGACCAAAATATTCCCAAATTCGGATCCCAAGTCTCCAGACCAAGTACTCTCAATAAGCTCTCTTTCACATCAAAGAATAATTACAAGAAAATATTGAGTCCACACATAATATAAAATACATGTATGTAACTGCCCTCAGAAAAACCAGCTGCTTTTACTCCTTATCATTAAGATTTAAAAAAAAAAAAAAGTCTATCCCAGACTGAGTCACAAATGAAGTGTCAGGTTTAACCTTAAATCCTGTTGTCAGTTCCTGTCACAACTTCATCACTTAAACACACAGGTGCTCAGGCAAACGCCACTCGACCAGCCTGGTGGTTCATTTCACGGTCTGGTCCAGTGCTCCCGGGGGGCTCCGGGCACCGGGACAGACAGGGGCTCCCCCCGGTGCTGACGACGCCTTTGGACACACCTGGCAGCGACGTGGAGGTCCGAGCACCCCGCGAGGGATGCGGATTCCAGTGCTGGTAGAAAGTCATTACTTCCCAAAGTTTAATATCCGTGCTGTCATTTCCTCCCAATAACTGCAAAAACACCGAAGCCCCAGCTACAGAACCTGGCTGGTTACTTAAGTTCTCTGACGGTCGAAGACCCACCCGAACCCCAAGATCGCTGGTTCGGGCTCCAGATCAGACGCGGACTCGGGGTGATCGCAATTTCCAGGAACCCGTGCGCAAGCCATCGAGGAACCGCGGCGCAGAGGCCGACCCAGCGGGCGTGCGGCGGCCGCAGAGAGCCAGGGGCCACATCCCTGGGCAACCCGGGGTGGCCCTAACCACACGCCAAGTTCGCGTGCTCGCAGAGTCGCGTCCCGGGCAGTTGCGACGCTCTGAAACAAGAAGTTCAGGAGTCGGGAATCCGGCGAGGAGTACATCCCTCCCAGCCCTGGCTCCCCACAGCGGCCGCCCTCGGACAGGCGCGCCGACGCG